ATTACAAAGGGCTTCCCTGGTGGCTGAGATGATAAAGAATCTGCTTGCAGTGCTGAAGACCTGGGTTCAATCCCGGGATCGGAACGATCCCCTGAAGAAGGGAATGGCAACCCACTCCAGTATTCCTGCCTGAAGAATCCCATGGACAGAGGAGCCTGGCAGGCTAGAGTCCAGGGGGTCACAAATAGTTGGACACGACTGAACGACTACACTTTCACTTTTTCTTTCATGTATTACAGATTCTCACTTTCCTTTTTTCCCTCAGAGATAGATAGCCATTTCTGTCATCTTTGCTTGAGAGGTACAAGTCCAAGTTATCTCAGTAATTTCATTGGTGACTCGTTGATACTGTGCTCATTAAAGCCCAGGACAGTGGTAGGAAGCAGGTAATCCTGAATTTAAAAGATGATCAATCTATTGGGAAATGCAAATTAAAGTCACGATTAAATATCACTACACACTCAGTTGGACTGAACACACTCGATAGAATGGCTCAAATGGGAAGACCAATAAAACCAAGCGTTGGTATTAGAACAGGGTCCATATTTCTCTGTGTGTGTGTCAGTTGCTCAGTCCTGTCCAGCTGTTAGAGACCCCATGGACTGTAGCCCACAAGGCTCCTCTGTCCATGAGATTCTTCAGGCAAGAATACTGGAATGGGTTGCCATTTTCTTCTCCAGGGGATATTCCCCACCCAGGGATCGAACCCGAGTCTCTCATCTCTTGCGTTGCGACAGGGCAATAATTAGCTTGACCATATACTTTGGTTTGCCACAGTCTCCACCACTCTCTGTAGTCTTTTCTAATCTCTCCTCATTAAGAGGAAAGTTAATTCATTTTTGAGGACTCACTATGTATCAGGCACTGCTGTAGGGCTTGAAGATACAGAGGGGAACCAAACACAAAACCTCTAATTCATATAGTGAGTGGAAAGTACCCATCTGCATCATCAGAAATTAGAGGGAGAAAGTGAGGCCAAGAGTACTGGGTATTTTAGGGAAAGTGGGAGAAAGCATGTTTCTTTGTGGAAATAAAAAAAATATTTCTGCGTTTAAAATGAATTGGTAAAAGTGAATCTGTCAAAGTTATCCTGTCCTGCCTCTTTCTCTTACCTCACGTAATGGGTCAGATCCTTTTTCCCGAGAAGTTTCCCAAGAAATGGATTTCAGCAAAATCCTGAAGATTATCTTAGTGTTTCAAAAAATGCCAGTAGGCAGAACAATTGGCACAGGCTCCAGTGGGCAGACTGGCACGGGCTCTGCTGAATGTTAGCTTTTCTTCCCTCTGTGCAAACTCTCCCCAGCTCCCAGTCCAACTATTTAGATTTTTCCATTTAATCAAGATGTAGGGATGCAACTCAGTCTTAGGTAAGCACCTCTCTTGAAGCCTGATAGCTGCCTTCTGTAATCCCCATATCCTCTCTAGCTGTGGCCGAGCCTCTTCTCACCCGATACATGTGGCGGATGTGGGCCTGTGGTGAGAAAGAATCATGCTGTTTGCTCGCTACCTGAAATTTACACTCCTCTTGGTCAGCCATGTGGTGAAAGTGACTAACATCTTTAAACCGACAAATCCTATCAGGCTTTGATTTTTTCTTTCTTAAGATTTTTTTTTTTTTGATGTGGATCATTTTTTTAAGTCTTTATTGTCCTTGTTACAATATTATTTCTGTTTTGGTTTTTAAGCCCTGATTTAAATGCTTCTTACCTGCAAGTGCCCATGTGGTGCTAGTGGTAAAGAACCCACCTGCCAATGCAGGAGACATAAGAGATGCCGGTTTGATCCCTGGGTTGGGAAGATTCCTTGGAGGAGGGCATGGCAACCCACTCCAGTGTTCTTACCTGGGAAATCCCATGGACAGAGGAACCTAGCAGGCTATAGTTCTTAGGGTCTTCAAGGGTCAGACACAACTGAAGCGACTTAGCATGCAGCACGCTCCTGCAAATAAACCCCTTGGTAGGGATAGATGCCTAAAACGTAGTTCTGTTTGTGGGAAGCATAATGGCTCATTTCTTTGCCTGTAGATTAATGTTGGTCATAGACTTTAAGAGTCTGGGCTGGCATTTCTCAACCAGTTATGCTTGACTGGATCCTGCCATAGGCCTCGGAACCGATTCTCCAGTTCTGTCTGGAAATGTCATCTTGCTACCTGGTGAAGAAAGCTGCACTGCTCCCACCTGGTGGCAGTTATCTCAAATTGCCACATCACCAACCTGCTCCTCCAGGCTCACCTTGTCCTTTAGTGGTGCCACATGTCGCTGAACTGTAGGAACCAGTCATTCCCAACTTCTGTTCTGCAGCCAGATGTCTCCTTGTGACCTAAATGAGTATTGCACAGTTTTCACTAAGTGGAAAGAACATTTTTTAGATAATTAGGACAATAACACTGGCCCAGGTTCTGCCCACAACTAGCCATTGGGTCCTAAAAATGTGGTTCCTCCTCCCATAAAGCTAAATGCTAGGACTTAACACTTCAAGTAGCAGCACTGCTTGAAGAAGGAAATGGGAACCCACTCTGGTATTCTTGCTGGGAAAATCACATGGACAGAGAAGCCTGGCGGGCTGCAGTCCGTGGGGCTGCAGAGAGTCAGACGTGACTGAGCAGCTGAGCATAGCACAAAAGCCCAGCTGGTGCAAAGTCTACAGTTCTGTGATTGAAAGAGAAGTTCAAAATCTGTAAAAGGAATACCCACTTGTTCACAAAACAGTTATGATTATGCATAGAAATTTTATAATTTATCATTTATATTATACTATCATTTTCTCCAAGTTTAATTGCTTATAAGACACATCATGAATTTAATGGCTTTTGTATTAAATGTATTAATATATTAATTAAATGTATGTATTTATTACAAGAAAATTCTGATCCTAAAAATTATAATGTAAAAATATGTAATAATGTAAAATATAAATGTATAATGTAAAAATAATATTAGAAAATATGCACCTTAGAATCGCATTCTTTTGCATGTGTGTTAGACTTCTTTCAATAGAAGTCGATGCATGGTAGAGTTTTAAAAATCTTTTATGGTAAGTACTCAAAATTGTAGAATTAAATCGACAGTTGAGCAGTATGAGTGGACTTTATTATAAGAAAATGAAAAATGTTGAGGTACAAAGATTAGAGAGATGACAGCTGAAATGAAAGACTGGATGGTAAATTTTAGTGTTTATCTGAGTACTGAAGAACACAATGACAGGAAATACACAAACATGCAATCTCTGCTAAATCATTATCAAAATGCACATTTGGAACATTTGAGTCTGTTCAAAATTTTTTTTAACACAGAATTATGTGTGTGCTTTATGAAAAAAACGCAACAGTGCCGTATGATTAAAGTTCTCTTTGGTTGCATGGAACAGAATCCTACTCAAGTTAATTTGAAAAAGAACGGTTATTATAAAGATACAACAGGAAATACTGAGAGCATCGACAGACAGCTGCTGGAGGGCTGCTGGGTCTTCGAGGATTTCGAGTGGAATGGTTGGGACCCAGGTCATATCACAGGCCTGAGGTCTCTGTAATCACTCCTGATGGCCCTGTCTCACCGCAGGACTATGCCATAGCCCCAGCTCAAGTTCCTGTGTTGCTGACTTCTCTGTGTTCAGCTCCATCCAGTTAGTCATCACCTCCATGCAAAGAGGGCTCCCCTAGTAGCTCAGCAAAGAACAGCCTAGCAGTTTTTTTCAGTACCCAGGGTCAGTGTGCAGGGTAGTACAAGCTAAATTAATGCAGGTATGTGAGCAGGCAGATAGACTAAGTGTCTGATACAACTGCTGCTTATCCCACAGCTTCACCTTTGATAGCTTTGCTGCACCTTATCTACCCAAACTCTTTTTAACAGTGGCCCTGAAGACCTCTGACAGTGTTTGAAGAGTGAGGTCAAGGTTAGGGGTTCTAAGAATTTGTGGAACACCAAAGTATAACCAGTTCAGAGCACTGAAGGATTTCTGTTTGAGTTATAGTACTCTCTTTTAATGAATTATGAACTCTGTTTTAGAGAAGGGTTAGTGCAGACATTAAAAAAATCTGCCCAATAATCGTCGTGCTCCCTAGTGGCTGCTGTGGAGAGTAGCTCTTTCCTAACTGTCCGTGTCTTCTCAGCAGCCCATGAGGTAGGGGGGGGCAGAAGTAATCCCCCATGTGTGTTGTTGATTAGTCAGGGGATGAGGTGAGGAGGGATGAGAAGAAAGGAAGGGAAGGAGATTCTTGAAATTGATTGCCAACTATCTTAAAACAGTTTTTGAAATAATTTCCAGGCCTGTCTGTTTAAGTATTGGACTTAGGTGTGTTTTGTTTTTTTTTCTTTTAAAAAAGTCCTTGGTTGAATCTAATCTCTTTGAGCCTCTGTTTTCTTCAGTGAGTAATTGTTGTCTTAAAGGGAAGAATATCACCTGGCTTCACAGGATTGTGTTATGAATTAGCAAGAGCCCAGAGTGCCCAGGAGAGCAGTTGGAATGTAGTTCGTTCTTTTTTTTCATCTGTTCATTCATCTGTTTATCTATTATTGTTCTCCTGTTTTGTTTTGTTGTTTTTAGATAGGAGTTCAGGAACAGTTTTTCTGATTCTTGCTACCCTATCTCACAAATGATACCTCTGAGTCCCAGTCTTTTTTTTTTTTTCTTTTTTCTTTTTTCCATTTATTTGTATTAGTTGGAGGCTAATTACTTTACATCATTGCAGTGGTTTTTGTCATACATTGAAATGAATTAGCCATGGATTTACATGTATTCCCCATCCCGGTCCCCCCTCCCACCTCCCTCTCCACCCGATCCCTCTGGGTCTTCCCAGTGCACCAGGCCTGAGCACTTGTCTCATGCACCCAACCTGGGCTGGTGATCTGTTTAAGAATGCATTTTGTGCCAGACCACCCCTAGGCCTAGCTGACGATGGCATCAGAACCATCAGCAGTGACATCAGCAGTCTGCAGCCACACGGTCGTTCCACTGACGTCTACAGTGTGACTTACAGGAGCCTGTGTGTGCTTCTCCCCCAGGTGGATTCGCCATCGTGTTTCTGGTGAGGACAAGCAACGGAATGAAATGTGCCTTGAAACGCATGTTTGTCAACAACGAGCATGACCTCCAGGTGTGCAAGAGAGAAATCCAGATAATGGTAAGGTTGCCCATCAGACTTGGGCTCACTTGTCCACATGTCGGGGAGGGACTATGCCCTCTCATAAGAAGGCCCCGGGCGGGGGGCGGGGGGGGGGCGTTTCTTGCCTTCCCTGAGAGGACAATGAGGCCTCGCCCAAGATGGGAGTGAACAGCTAAGGGGCATAGGGTGTTGCTCCTGCCTCAGTCATTCTCAGCTGGAGAGTTGAGGAGTAGAAGCATATTGAGCGAACCAACCAATTTTCAGGTCAGAGAAATAGTTTGAGGCACTGGGAAAAATGCACTTAACAGCTTGGTTCCCAGAATTATTAATAGTTCCAGAGCTCTGAGGTTGCTGGTGAACCTCTTGTAGTCTTATTATCAGCCACCAGTCCTAGCTTTCAACCCTCTTAAATCCTTCATCGTTCTGTGAACAGAGGCTTCCACACCTTTGTGTTTTCTGCATGTTGTCCTTCCCCCCAGAATGCTTCTCCTTTTTTTTTTTTCTTGCCTAGAAATGCTTACTCATACATACTCTGATTCCATTTATAAAAGGTTAAGAATAAGCAAAAGTGATCCGTGATAATAGAGATCAGAAAGTGGCTATCTGGTTGTGAGAAATTCACTAGAAAGGGGTATATGGGAACTTTCTGGGCCACGGACGTTGTTCTGTATCTTGTTTTGGGTAGTGGTTATGGCTGCACAATTGTCAGAACTCAGTTGGGCACCTTAAAATCTCTGTTTCTTTTATATATTAATTATTTCTCACTTCTTAAATCCTCAGTTTTCAGGATTTAGGTTCCTCTTGTGTTTAAAGAAAGAGACCCCATCTGTTAGATATTTGATGAAATATTTGTGGATGAAATAATGTGATTTCTTGAAATTAAATGAGTGGGTTTAGGAGAGAAACAAGATTGGCAATGAATTGATTATTGCACCGGCAGGGTGATGAATATATGGGAGTTGTTTTTTTTTCACTTCTGTTTGACATTACACATTTAAGAAATTTGGGTAGTCCTTTATTATGCCTTTGTATTTCTTCAGTACTTTTGTTTGTGTCAGTTATGTTCCTTATCATGTTATTTTACAAGTAATTTAGAAAGTCATTTAAAACCAGAGACTTTGTATTCCAGTACATTGCCCAACATAAAGGAACTACTTAAACTTTGGATGAAATGAATATATGAATAATGATCGTAGCAGATGCACATGTCACCTAGGGGTGATGGCTCCTTTGTGCCCTGCATTTTAATGTTCTTGGTAAGAGCATTAAGAAAGAGGTCCAGAAAATGGGTGAGAGTGGCATCGTGGGGATTTCCCCAGGCTTTGCTTGCCCTTGTGCGATTGCCCTTTCAGTGGCTACTTGTAGAGTAACAAGTTGTACAGCCCAGGATTTTAGAGAGCCTGGTAATATGTAGATCCCAGAAAGCTGAAACTATTTGGGAAGAAGCTGTTGGCAGAAATAAATTTGCTGTCATCATTGCAAAGCAAGCAAACCCCCCTCCCCGCAAGGCTGATATGCATGTGCATCTCTCCTCCCGCCCCCCTGCCACTTGGCTCCCAACAGCCATGCTCACTGTTTCCCTTTGTCCACCCAGTGTTTTCTGGATGCTGTTCCTCCTCCTCCCACGTCTCCTTTTCCTTGCTCAGCTCTCACACTTCACTTCCCCTCTTTGCTTCTGCTCTCTCCTCTGCCCAAAATGCCTTTCTCATTCATTTTCAGGTGTTAGAGTTAATCCCACTCTTGAACTTTCTCGCACTCATTCAGAAACAAGTTTGGAGGGCTTCTTCTATGCTGGGCAGGTATTAGAATAAAGGAGCTGAGAAGTCGTGGGCCCCTTAGGAGCTCATAAATTAATGGACCTGATTTGGAATTATATGGTTCACATTCTGGTGCAGCCATATATTAGCAATGAGAATTTTATTTTTTAGTTTATCTTTTTCTAAAACTTAAACACTCAAATAATTGGAGTAAGCTTATTGCAAAAAACATCAAGCAATTCCCTGAGGGGTCCTCCTTTGCCATTGCAAGGTCCCAGAGGCCACCACTTTTAGTGGATTCATTTGATATATTTCTAAGTAACAAGCTGATATTGCTGATTGTTCTCCCCCTCCTCCATTTTAGGCAGTAGCTATGGAAAGTAAAAAGTTAGCTTTTTTTCATTCCCTACATACCCTTCCCTCCAAATACTTTCATTATTCTCATTCCCATTCTTCCAAAATAGCCATAAGTTTAGAAATCTGTCAGTTATGTTAATATTAGTTTTTATATTATTATGTAAGAAAACATTATTTTTTGCCGACTCTTCTAAGTGGACTATGATGACTATTCCTTTCTTTTTTTTCTCCCCACTGGAATTAATCATTGTCTTTTTTGTTTGTTTTTTTAGGTTTTTTAAATTCAGTTTTCTGTGTGCTTTTGCACAATTTCAAACTCTCCCCCAAGTTGTTTAAATCCTTTTTAAAATACTTCCGAACACATTCAGTGTTCTGTTTTATCTTCTTGAGGAAATCTCTGTCAGTCTTCAGACTTGATGAAATCTGAGTTGGTTGCTCTGTAGGACAGTTTACTGTCTTGTCTTGGAATTTTCTCGCCATTCTTTTTGCTTCTCTTTCTTGTCAGATTTGTCACCTCCTCTTTTCGCTGTGCTTTCTCCTTTTGGTGGAACTTGTCCTCCAGGAGCTTCCTGATGTGTTGTAGGTCAGTTTTTGATAACTTGCAGGTCTGGAAATATCTTTGTTTTACACTCACACATGTGATAGTTTGCATGTAAAAGTCTGGATTGGAAATAGCATCATTGAGATAATGAAAGCATTGCTCTACTGTATTTTAGCTTCATTGTTGAGTTTGGGAAGTCCAAAGTCGTTGTAATACCTTGTCCTTTGGCTGTGACTCATTCTCTCTCCATAGAAATTTGTAAATTCTTCTTTGCTTACAGTGTTACAAAATTAATTGATGATAGATCTTGGTGGGTGCAGTTTTTAATTTATTATGTCTGTTGTCTGGTGGTCTCACTTAATCTACAAACTCATATCCTTGTGCGGGGAGAATTTCAGTTCGTCTCATTAGATGATTTCCTTTTCTGTCTTCCTTTACTGCCAGTATTTGGATGTTAGTTCTCCTGAACTGATTTTCTGACTTTCTGTTTTCTTCCTTCTATTTTTCATTTCTTTATCTTATCCTTCTACTTTCCAGCAAATTTTCTCAACTTTATATTCAACTATCCTGTTGCATTTTTTATATATCAGGCTTTTTAATTTCTAAGCCCTGCTTTTTGGTTTTGTTTTGGATTTTGAAGAAGTCCAGTTTATTAGTTTTTCCTTTGGGGGATTGTGTTTTTGATGTAAATTCTAAGAACTCCGCCTGGCTCTCAGCCCTGAAGATTTTATTTATTTACTCTTTTCTGTAAGTGTTTATATTTTGCATTTAAGTCTGCAAGCCATTTTGAGTTAACTTTATGTAAGGCATGAGACTTAGGGTGAAGTTCATTTTATTGTTTGTGGGTGTTCATTTGTTTAAAATGTGATCTTTCCTTCGTTGAGTATTCTTTTAAAAAAAAATCAGTTGGACTTATTTTTGAGGGTTAATCTCCAGACATTTCTCTGTTTTCTGTTCTGTTGCATTAATCTATGTGTCTGTCCATCCACCAGCACCACGTAGCCTTGATTACTGTAGTTTTATAATAAGTCTTGAAATCAGACTGATTCCTCCTACTTCTTTTTTTTCTGAAAATTGTTCTTAATTATTCTCGTTCTTTTGTCTTTTCACATAAATTTTAGAATAATCTTATCTATATCTACAGAATGTTCTGCTATAATTTTGATAGGAATTTCATTAAACTGGTATATCAATTTGGGGAGAAATGACATCTTTTCTCTGTTTAGTCTTCCAGTAAATGAGTATGGCACCTCTCTCCATTTATTTACATCTTTGATTTCTTTCAGCAACATTGTGTAGTTTTCAGCATACAGGCCTTGTATGTGTCCTGAGATTTTTACCTCGGTTTTCATTTTTGTTTTGAATGAGTATAAATGGTATTGGATAATTAATTCCAGTGCCCATGTTTTTACTGCTAGGATGTAGAAAATCAGTTGATTTTTCTGTGTTTATTTTGTATCTTGTAACCTTGCTGACCTTGTTTACTGGTTCTATGAATTTTTTCTCCTTTCTTTAGGATTTTCTGTGTAGGCCACCGTGTCATTGAATAATGGAGGCAGTTTTATTTTTTCCTTTCTGCTATGTTTCTCTTTAACTTCCTTTTCTAACCTTACTGCGCATCTCCCTCATTTAATTATTTATTCAATCATTTATTTATATCAGTTTGTTCTTAGGCATATTAATTTTGTCCTTTTTTTCCCCCTTCAATCTATTTGCTATCTTTGGTTCATACTGGGTAATTCCTGTTGTTTCATCTTTCAGTTCACTGATTCTTTGCTCTCTCCCTTCCATTCTGCTGATGAGCCCATCCATTGTGCTTTTTGCTTTGGTTATCGCATTTTTCAGTTCTAAAATTTCCATTTGGTGGTTCTTTAGGTTTTCCGGGTTTTTGATGACACTTCCTGTTTCTTTGCTGAGGCTTTCTGTTTGTTCATTTGTTTCAAGCATGTCCTTAATTGCTGGTTTAAGCATTTTTGTCATAACCGCTTAATCATAACTGGATGATTCTGTCTTTTTGAAGTGAAAGTCACTCAGTAGTGTCCGACTCTTTGTGACCCCATGGACTATACAGTTCATGGAATTCTCCAGGCCAGAATACTAGAGTGGGTAGCCTTTCCCTTCTCCAAGGGATCTTCCCAACCCAGGGATCAAACCCAGGTCTCCCACATTGCAGGTGGATTCTTTACCAGCTGAGCCACAAGGGAACCCAAGGATACTGGAGTGGGTAGCCTATCCCTTCTCCAGAAGATCTTTCTGACCCAGGAATTGAACTGGGGTCTCCTGCATTGCAGGTGGATTCTTTACCAACTGAGCTATCAGAGAAGCCCAAATCTGTCTTCTTGGTCACTTTCACTTTGGCATCT